ACCCCACCTTAGAGATTTAAGCATTCTTAGAGGAAAAATAAAAAATGTTTGTGTAGGTTGTATAATATTTAGATTCTCTCCATCTGTCTCAATAAATAATGAATTCTTGTAGTACTTTAAGAATTAGACAGTTATATCTCAAAATAGGGCTGGTTTCAAATTTTAGAGGAATCCATAGGGTGGTGTTCAAGACTTGGGCGACTCTCCCCCACTCCCCACACAAGTACTTACCCAGTTCTTACATCTGCGTCCAAAAATGTGTTTCTTAAATCTTATGCTTGTTAAGTAGTCTGTGAAGAAAGGATTTGGTGGGCAAACAGAATTGGGAAAGGGGACATCTCAGACTGGGTTCTCCAGGATTCAGATTCTGAGATACAGTTTAACCTGCAAGGTGTTTATTAAGAAGAGCTCTTGGGCCCAACACTTGATTGGGTGAGGAGAGAGGCTGATTTGTAATGCAGCTCCAACAGCCACCATGGCCAACACCATGGAGCTCTGGAGTTGGAATGACCTTCAGAGTTGTCCTTAGATGGGTAAAAAAACAACTTTGAGCTTTGCACTGAAAAGTCACTGAATATGGGCAACCCCATGAAGGAGTGTGCGTAGGTGAGGTGGTTCTGTGCAGCTGAGGCAATTCCCAGAGAGGGCTGGTAGCTGCAGGCTGCCTGTGGACAGTACCCCCAGCAAATGAGGAGTAAGTCCTTCCTTGAAGGGGGATCTGGGCCATATATCACAAGGCTGCCACATGGGCCAGATCAATTCATCTGTGTACAGAGTTGCACTAAACATTCACATAGGAATGGCTTTGAGAATCTGGTAACTGAAGAAACCTTCCAACTTTGTTTCTTTCCTAACATCAATTCCTATCCTATGGAACTAGTGTTCCACAGGGTATAATTTGATAAATGTCTCCCTAATCTTACAGTGCCTTGCAGGTTGTGTTAAAAGAACTGAAGACAGATAGTTTGCTTTAGGCTCCCTTCCCCTTTGGTGTTGCTGTATTAGCTTTTAGGTCACATACTTAGGTGTGTGGGAAAATGACTTTATTTTTCCATAACTGAACTTAATTTATGTCTTAAGTTCTCGTTTTGCCAGGTGGCACATGAACACCCCTTAACCTCAGTCATTTTCTAGGTATACAGACATTATGCTTTAAAATGATTTAATACAACATTTTCTCTTCTACTCAGGATTGCAGCTAAGCCCCAAGGAACTTAAGTCATGTCATAGCCTTGGGGGATACATCTGATTCTTGATGGGCATCTGTCCACAGCTAGCATGAACTGAGTTAACCCTGTTATTTTTTGGCCTTTACTGACATCACCCTCCGTGCTTACACATGATGAGGTGTCTGCATTTCCCTCCAGTACCTCTTCAAAGAGTTCACACTGCATCTTAGGCCAAGAAGGTCTGTCAGCTCTTGGGGTCATTTCCCAAATGTTTTCAATCACAGCCAGAAAACCATTAGCTTGATCCTGTGGCCCATAATGTCTGTGAAGTAGTTTCGGATCCATCTGTCTAGTTACTCAGTGCAGATATTTCTACTCCAATTTATAATGCCATAGTGTCCAAACAACACAATGGAGCTTTCTCAAGATAACCAGATAGGAGGTAGGGTACCGGCTTCTCCATTCTTAGCACACATACATTTTTTTATAGGGGTTCTATTATGCTCTAATTTAGAATGTTGAATCTCTCTTCTGAAACCCTCAGCAGCAGTTATCTCTTTCGCTTTCTCTCCAACTGTGATTTATTTTCTGCTCACCTAGTGCTGAGATTGTTTATTCTTCTTTCTTTTTTTAAAAAACATATTTTATTAATTTTTTACAGAGAGGAAGGGAGAGAGATAGAGAGCTAGAAACACCGATGAGAGAGAAACATTGATCAGCTGCCTCCTGCACATCTCCCACTGGGGATGTGCCCGCAACCCAGGTACATGCCCTTGACCGGAATCGAACCTGGGACCCCTCAGTCCACAGGCCGACGCTCTATCCACTGAGCCAAACCGGTCTTGGCTATTCTTCTTTCTTTGAGTGAGTTTGGAGAGGGTAGTGCAAGGAGGAATTTAGCATCCCTCTAATCCTAAGTTTTATGCCATGATTTTGATCCTTGAAAACGCAAAAGCCAATCACCAACCTTTTTTCTCATATTTATTTTGATGAATTGTTTATAGTCTCTGTTCCTCAAGGCATAAAGCTTACAGAATAGTTTGAGTGGGGGATAGGTGCTGGGGTAGGAACAAGGCAGTTGACTGTGGAGAAAAATACCCCCAGTTTTACTCATCTATTTTATTCCTCAACAAGGCAATAGGTAGGTGTCCCCTCATGAGATGTCTTATCTTCTTTCCTGGCTGCTAGGCAGATGACTTGAGTTAATCCAGCATAACCTCAGTTGAAAAGTGCTGGGCCTGATAAAAGAAGAAAAAGATTATACATGAAAGGAGCTACACAAAATAGCATGTACCACCAGGAGCCAGGGGAGTATTCCTGGCATTGGATTTTGAGGGTGCTTTATTTAGGGGACCAGAATATAAGATTACAGAAATAAAACTTATTTATTTAGGGGTATTTTATTGGGACACAGGATTTATCATCTTAGCAAGAACCCCAGGGGATGGGATAAATTCACTGATAGGGTATGAAGTCTGATATTGTTATGTCCAACACTGAGTGAAGTGAAAATCCTCAAGTTGTCCCGGTAAATTGTAGAAGTAATAAAGATGCTGAGAGAAGTGGTCATGCTAGACTGCATATATTGTGAGGCTAGAAAACTCACCACGTGATTTTGTTCCAAAGCAAGGCCCAGAAGACACACGATTCACCAAGGCCACCAAGAATGTGCCTGTGAGAGGCTTGAGCATCATGGGTTCAGTGTTGGCTCTCCTTTTAGTTCAGGACTGATTGTGCATGAGGTGCTCACAGAACTGGGCTTCCTAATGTCATTCAGGGTGATTGGCTCTGAAGTAATAGAAGACTGGTGCTTACCTACCCAAAGCCAAGAGGCCATAATTACTGTCACAACTGGAGGGGCAGTGAAGGGGGTTTGACCCTTGGAGTGTTTGGGAGATTTTTGATTGAATATAACACTCCTACAGCCAAAATTGATGGGCAAGTAATAAAAATACTACTTAACATCTATAAGCAGGAAGGCAAAAATGGAAAAGGAGGAGGGTGAGGGCATTGGCCCCAATGAAATGCCACAATCCCTTGTTCAGTTCCAAGACCCAAGAGAGTTGGAAGAGGGTCCTTCAGATGGAAGAGGGTCCTTCAGAGGAAGGAGCCTGTTACTCAGTGGCAGGCGTATACTGTGATGAATCTCCAAGTTCTTTGTGTGGCCAATTGCTAGGTGATAATACACTGAAAAAGGGTACTATCCAGACATTTCAAGGACTAATGGACATAAGATCTGAGTTGACAGTGATATCTGGGAACCCAAAGCAGTATAGTGATACTCCCTTAAAGTAGGGGCTCATAGGGACCAGGCCCTGTGGTACTGGCTAAAGTCTGGCTCACAGTGGACACATTGAGTCTATGGACCCACAGTTGTTCATATCTACAATGCCTCAGTGTGTAATGGGAAATGATTGTAACACAAATAAAGCTTTTCGCACATGAGGTAAGAGTTATCATAGTGGGGAAAGCCAAATGGAAATCTCTGAAACTCCTCCTTATCCCAGCCAAGATAGGAAATCATAAACATTTGGCTAGGATGGGGGAGGTGGAGCTTATTGGTGGTCATCATGATTTTTCCATTCACTTTGCCAGTCTGGGCTTTGAAGAAAATGGACAGAATGGATGTAGATTAGTGCAGGTATAACCTAGTATTAGCCCTGATTTCAGGTGCTGTGCAGATGTGGTATCGTTCACTACTAGCGACAAAAAAGGGCTCAGGTACATAGTATGTACCCAATGATCTGGTAAAGGTGTTCTTTTCAATCCCAATTTGGAAAGAGGATCAGACACAATTGACTACATTATAGCTATGTCCATGAGTGGCCTTGAAGGACAATAGAAAGGGCAAATATTTCTAATAAACAGAGCTGTGAATGGCATACCTGGTCATCTGCTTTGTGTGGAGAACTGGTTCTAGGTGAGAATATGTATACTTTCCTGGGCAGTGGCTAATGGCTTGGCAATTTGTTCAGGGACTGGATGGAAAAAGACTGGAAAATTACAACGAAGTCTGGTGTAGAGGTATGTCGACAGACATATGGGAGTGGACATAGAGCTTTAAGATTTGTATTTCACACCTTAACGCCCACTAGAAGGCAATCATCATGGATGGGGTACTTAGCACTTGGCCAGTGGAGATTGTTACCAGCCCGGCTTTGTTTGTCAGACCCTGAACTGACACAATGAACCCATGAATGAAGCAGCTGGAGTGGCAGAGCTGGAAGTTATAAATGGGCTCAACATATGGACTCTCATTTACTAAGGCTGAGCTAGCTAACGCAGTCTCATGTCCATGCTGTCAGCTATAGAGACCATCACTGAGCCCTCAGTGTGGCACCGTTCTTCAAGTAGATTAAATGGTCTCATGTTGCAAGTCAACTCTAATGGGCCTCTTTTATCCTGGAAGGGCCAGTAGTTTGTTCTTACAGGGATAGAGCCTAGTCCAGGTATGAGTTTACCTTTATTACCTGCAGAGCCTCAGCCAGCATCACATAAAGGACTTACACAGTTTTCAACCAATTCATAATGATGAAGGTGCAAGAGTGGACACATGGCCAAGGGATCCCCTGGTCTTATCACACACAGAACTGCAGCCTCGTACCTGCAGCCACTCATAGAATGCTACGATGGTCTTCTAAAGGCAGTTAAAGTATGAGCTTAGGGGCAACATTATGAATACAGTGGATTCATTAAATTGGGAACTTTCTAGTACAAAAGAATTATGAGAGTCAAATACAGTGAGGCCTTGACTTACGAGTTTAATTCGTTCTGTGACGGAGCTCGTAACTCAAATTACTCGTATGTCAAATCAAAAAGTGAACGAGTGAGACACGTGATGCTGGGCTGATGTTGTGGCATTCACTGTGACTTTTGCTGCGCCAACTAGCGGTGGGGTATCTGAAGCTGACTCCGTAACCTGAATTTTAGCTCACAACTCAAAGCAAAAAATTGGCCGAGAGATGGCTAGTATCTTGAAAAACTCGTTAGTCGGGACACTCGTAAGTCAAGGCCCCACTGTATAGTGGCAAAAAGAGTGGCTTCATTTACAACACTCCCAGTGACTTTTTATTGGAAGAATTTGTGCTTTCTTGCAACTCTGCCCTCTGTAAACTTAGAGGTCTTGGTTCCCACAGGGGGCATACTCTTCCCAGCGGGTCTCACTGAACCACAAGAAGTGGTTGCCACTAGAGCACTTTGTACTCCTTGTGCCCAGGGATGTGCAAATGAGGAGTCACCATATCCACAGAGTAATTGACCACCATGAGCAGGAGGTTGGGCTCCTCCACAGTGGGACAGGGAGGGGTATGTGTGGATCCCTGGTGAGCCACTTGGTTCCTCCTGTTGCTCCTTTGTCCCACTATAACTGATCAGACGCACATGGCAAACTCAGTCCAAGAAGGATGTGGTTACTAAGGTTTCAGACCCCTGAGAAATGAAAGTTTGCATCACATGACCAGGTAAACCACCAAGAACTCCTGAAGTGATTGGTAAGTGTGAAGGGATTCCCAAGTGGGATAGTGGAGGAGGAAGAGGATGAGAACCACTTGCAGTCCTGAGATCAGTGACAATGGATGTAGTTCATCCTACTAACCAACGTCCCTATGGTAAGTTTATTCTCAAGAAAATGGGCCTGTTATAGGAATCACGGAGGTCTATCTCCCTGAATAGTACTCAGTAGAATGATGGGCTATGGCAGCCTTGCAAGTGCACCACCCAGGTCTTCTGCTGAGGGAAGCTCAATTGGCTGAGAGCCCTGTCTGCTGCCCTCTGAAAACACTAGTATTTTCATGCCAAGGCTACAGTTCCCATGAGGCTTTTCCATCAGAACAATGAGCAGAGCAGGTACACGGATGCAGGCCCATTTGTGTGTGCAAGGGGACTGCTTTAAGGGGCAACTTTGGCTTGGGAGTTTTTCATCAGCCTGACCCTTAACTTTCTTGGAATTGTGTTGCAGTCTGAGATTCTGGCTACTTCCAACTTCTTCTTTCTTCCAAAGGGGGAAGACATACATCTGTCTGAAGACTTCCTCCTCTGGCTTCCTATTTCAACTCTCACAGGCATTTCCCCAAATAGATCTCTTGTAAATCTATTTTTGCACGTGCATCTTGGATGACCTGAAATAACACACTTGGACTTTGTTCTGACCAATAGGGACTTTGTCCTGACAGAGAGTTAAGTTACTTGAAAATCAACTTCATACTGCTGGGGTTGGTTTGTAAGTTTTTTCGTGTTGTTTTTGTTGTTGTTGTTGCGTCTAGTGTAGATTTTACCATCAGGCTAGCTTAACCCTACTTACACAAGGTGTAACCTTCCTGAGATCCCAATGAATGTCAGGAGTTCTGAGTGAGGACTTCTGAGTGAGGACTCTCCACTATGGCTGGATGGAAGTTAAATGTTTCCCATTCTTGTGCTAGTGTTGGGCATTGTTAAGCTTAGTGTTCAACAATAAACATAAAGGGATCTGTATGCTGATTTCTGGACTTTTTTTTTATCTACACACCTTCTTCTTCACTGATACTCTGCCCTGAAAATTCAAGCCATCTCAGTTTTACTCAACTTGTCTTGGTCTCCCTACCTCAGAAAGACTGCTCTGCTTCAGCTTCTACTCCTGCAATGTCATCCAGCGCTTAAATCTAGGCAGGCAGGGCAACTGAAGGGTCACCTTGTTTCCCTCCCTCAGTCATCCCTCCTTTGCTGCCAGTTGTCCAATGTCTGAAAGGCTGCTTCAACATTCCCCCTCCCCGCTGGTTCCTGGGAATACTAATAGCCAATCTTTCTGTGAAATTTTTAATATATTTAGAGCTATAAATTTCCCAGAAATATTTGCTTTCACAATATCCTGTGTTTTGATATGTTGTATTTCCATTAGAATTTATCTCAAAATATTTTCTAAAGTCTACTGTTATTTAGCTTGCCTCATGGATCATTCAGAGTGTGTTCCTTAAATTATAAGAATTTGCAAAATTGTTTTTTATCTTTATGTAATTGATTTCTGGCTTAATTCATACTCCATATTATTTCAATCTTTGGAAATTTGTGATCAATTGAATGGTCAGTTTTGGTAAATGTTGAATGGTGAACCTTAAAATAATATGTATTCTAAGATTTTTGGATATAATGTTTTATATTATACTAGTGGCCCGGTGCACAAAATTCATGCACATTAAAAGGGAATTAATTAGAGGAAATATTTAATATTGCTATTTGCCCTTTCTCTATAATAGAAATGTCAGAGATGAAAGAAAATTAGTAAAATGTATATGACAATAATATATAAATTTGTTAATAATCACAACATGATATAACAACAATAAAGACATGATATAAAAACAACATGATGTAAAAACAACACTGATACAAACAATGAGTGATAAATTGATTAAACTTATTCTAATATCTCCCTGTATACTACATTAAGAGTGAAAACACTTTCAGAGTGCTTGACTAATTTCCCTTGTGACGAAGTATTTACAACTTTAATATCACATGCTCTTCAAACTCGAGAGAAGCAACGTATAACTGACCACGTGCAAAAACAGGTTCAGGTAGGAATATTCCTACTCTGTCTAGAGTTTGTCCTTGTGATTTGTTAATAGTCATTGCAAATGCTGGCATCACGGGAAACTGTCTTCGAATTAATTTAAATGGGAGCCCAGTGTCAGATGGGGACAAATCAATTCTTGGAATCAGAACCTCTCCTTCTGTAGATCCTGTTAATATTTCAGCTTTGATAATGTTAGGTTGCAATCTTTTGATAATAAATCTAGTACCATTACAAAGACCCCATTTACTATTAAGATTTCTCAGTAGCATGATGATTGCACCCACTTTCAATTTTAATTTATGACACAGCATTCCTGAAGGAGTAATACTATTAAGAAATTTGATGGGAAAATTTTTCTTTTCAGCCCTGGCCGGAATCAATGGAATCATCACTCAAATAAGTGTGAAAATCTCCATGAGTATATCCAAAATTTCTTCATTTAATTTTTGAACTTGCTCATTTTTTGGACAAAGAATCACACATTTAGATAGCCTATCTAATAATAGAGAAACATGGTAATTGACCATACCTTTGCTATACCTCCCACGGGCTAATCAGTGTGATATGCAAATTAACTGCCAACAAAGATGGCGGCTAATTTGCATACTGCAGGCAGGGCGGGACAGTGCCAACTGCCAGCGCGCCGCCATCCAGGGCAGGCCGGCAGCCCCGGGACCCCATTGGCGGGTCCCCAGCGGCAAGGCACACCTGCCCCAGAAGATGGGCAGGTCCCGGGGCGACAAGGCACACCTGCCCCAGAAGCCGCAGAAGCTGTCTGATATGGTAGTAACTCTATCAGTAAGCACTCTGAAAGTCAGTGGCATAAATGCACCAATTAAAAGACAGATTATGAGGGTGAATCAAAAACAAAACCCACTTTAAATATAAAGACACATATAGATTAAAAATAAGTGAATTAAGCTGCAGCCTGTTTTGCTCAGTGGATAGAGCATTAGCCCGTGGACTGAAGGGTCCCAGGTTC